TTATGTAGACAGCACGCCACGGGTGTTTCAACCATGGTCCCAAGAAACTGAGAGCTTGTGTGACTTGTGACATTGAAACAAAATGAACAGTACTTGAATTCGTTTCTTCCCCACGCTACCGATAAGTCAAAATGCCTGCACATAAAACTTGATATTACATTTATGTAAAAGAATGAATTGAAGCTCTTGGAGAACTTACTTGGTGACACCGTAGTCAATACCAATTGTTGTCAGGTACTTGCTGACAAATCGCTTCTCGCAGTATCTCTTTATAATACAACTCTGAAAAATGCATGAAAGAAATCGACATGATAGGCCAAACCAAAATTAACCGATACAAATAGACTATGGTCATGATGGTACCCATGGTACCAGGCATCACCAATAAGCCTTTAGTGAGTTCAATGTTAATAAAATCTGGTACACTGAGTTATCTGACTACACATAAATATATAACAATTCCCCAGACTAAAGACTCTGTTGCTATACCCTACCTCGTGAGTCGGGGCAAGCTTTTACATAGCGACCACCATCTCTGCAATGGATTGGTTCCTTTGTGCTCTTCTTATCCATTGAAAATAGTGTATTGGTGCAAGACCTCTCTTATGTAACCAAGCAAGAGCTTGCCCTGGATCAGGAGGTATAGCAACAGTGTCTTTAGTATGGAGAATTCACATTGTTATGTTCATGTGAATTTAAAGGACTCAGTGTACCAGATTTTATTGAATTTTAACCCGCAAGAGGCTTTATTTTGCTTGCCACATGGAAAATAATTGTTGTGTTAAATGGTTACAAAAAAGTAACCAATGTAGAGGCTAGGCATGATGTTCAATATACATGTACATGTATATATATTCTGTACATGTTGCCAATTTGAGAAGTACATGTATATTAATACATGTACATGCACGCGTACAGTAACTCCTGTATGATGTACATGCATGTACTGCTTGCATGTCAGGAGTGACTGACAATTTGCATCAATGTCAAACACATACAGTACACTGAAATGCCAAGCTCGGCCACTCATCTTTACAAATTTAACAGTATAGTGCCTCAGCCATGCTTGTTTTAATCTCTGGATTTGTGTATGAAAGCATCAAGTTCAGGAAGGCAGTCCTGGGAAAGTTTAGGGAAACTTCTGAATGATTCCGATACGAACACGCTCTTCTAAGTGTTGTGTTCAGGAAATCTCTTTTCTTCATTTCCTTTTCCGAATCCCAAACTACATCTTCCACCCTCAACCGCCGAAAACCAACTGAGTACAAACTTATGGTGGAGTCAAACTGATATCAGAGAGTTAATGAAAATATCACATTAATTTTTATCACATGTCATGATGTGAACATATTTGGGCTAAATACCTGTAATTTCGAAAGTGACTTCATGGATTTTTTTCAAATGATACATCTACCAGTAAACGAAAGCATGAAATACTGAAATAAATACATGCACCAGTAGGCAATGGTAGGTTATATGGGTAATTCCAGGTATTAGGGGTCCAAAAGTGTGACATTTTCGTGTCCCTGTTTCATCTGACCTTTGTTATTTGACATGGAAATATCACTGGAATCGATTTCAAACTATTACTATTTGCTTGGCAGGTAATTTGCATTAACTTATCACTCTTGGAAATTAGAAAAACTGTTCTGAACTTACAAAATCATATGTCAGATGTGACAGGGACACGGCAAAAAATGGACCCCTAATTTCTGGAAGTACCCATAAGGCAGTGGAAAACCGGTCCAGTCATCCAGACATGCTTTTGTAGCTTGGGCTTTTAACTGCGACAACCCTTTATCTGATTCCATGCTTACAGAGTTTCACTGCGAGTTTGTATTCACAAAATGGAATTTAGACCTTGCCCAATTTTCAGAATTTGTTGCTTTGAAAAAAATCTTCCAGATCAACAGATCACAAAAAAAGAAAAGTGAAATATCCTGATCCTGCATGTACATATGTACATGTAAGTTTGGATTTGATTTGAATCACAGGGATACCCATACTTGTACTTGTACATGTATGTAACCATAATATTGCAACCTTTTTTTAGATAGGGAAAGCAAGTTTGTGAATCTGCCTCAGATGGAATCGTGATCATGTGTATTCATCAAGGCTTCATGCCTAGCTGCCACACACTCACCTATTCTGAATGGAGAAATTGACCAATACTTTTTTTTATACAGTTCAATGCCAGTTGTTTGGAAAACATTAATACGTGACCAGATGACAGCAAAATATATTTGGCCTATACGGCCTATGGAACTCCTTTTTATACTATAAGGAAAGAGTTTCATATAGGCCTACGGACAACACTTGTGGCTGTGTGAACAAACCTACAGTACATATATGAGACTTGTCTGAAAAAAAAAGATTTTCTAAGTAAATAAATGCTTTGGGGAATTTCCTTAGCAAAATTTCACTCTTTAGGACTGGTTATCACTTTCTGAAGGCTATTATCATATTTTAAGGGAAAATTAGTGTTGTCTGTATATAGAACTCTTTCCTTTTATAAAATATAATTTATTTATCATTTACAGACATGCATATTCATTAAGGTGTATAATTATATTAGCCCATATTCCTGCAATTGAAATGATTGATTCTTTACCAAAACACTCATACATGTATTAGTCCAAACGGGAGAAACTGTGAAAATTGTAACATTACTCTACTTTTTCATCACACTAACAATAACAGTAACGTTGACTGAGTCCTTCCTCCATGGTCCTCCTCAGTTCTCACCTTTCCTGTTTCGGCATTTCCCATGCTGATTATCTTCACACGAATCGTCTTCCTCAATCCGTTGCTATCCATACTCATTTCGTCTCAGAACAATGTGAACTGTTCAACGTTGAAACTCCATGTCAAATCTAATTGCAAACATGATACTTGAGACTCGAGTTGAAGTTGGCCGCAGCAGTGGTGGGCAGGGCGCGTACGACGAAATGAAGTGATTTTTTCACCCAAAGGTACAATTTCCCCCTCTGCAATGCCAGTCACGGGAACACCAGTTATTATGAGGAAAACATTTAGCATATGAAATACTGCCAGCGAAATAGAAATTTGCTTTTTTGAACATCTCCCATGGAGCTACGAACGAAAACTTGTTTATTCTCTGCGGCCATGTTCCGCAATCTTCACATTCCTGCGAGAGCTGAGAGCGAGGCTGTGATTGGATTAACGTCAGTGGTTGCTCAGAAGAAAATGACGAGTGATTTGATTGGATGATAAATGCTTCGGATAGAAATCAACATGGCTGCCCCCAGTAAAAAGTTTTGCCATTCCTTACTGTATAATTCCAAATTTGAGAAACACGGTCATAAGTAGTCGCCACTTGCATTTTGCTTAACCATACGAATTTTTTTTTGCTGAAACAGGCAGCCATTGTAATGACGCAATCAATTGTGATTCAAGGTAATAAAAACGATATTTCTGTCGTGTTTGCGGTGGTCAGCTGTGCTCAGTGCTGTGATATGATGCATTAGATTATAGATAGATGTGCCTGTGTACTGTCGTGACTGCATCATACATGTAGTTCATCACTTCATATATTGTAATTGGTAATGCATGTGTAGCCCTACTGATTACCATGCCTAATGTATGTGTAAATACTGACATTGTCTGTTACGTACCGGCTTCCAGCATTTTCTTCTGTACAAATTTGAGGCACATGCACATGATGTACATTGTTAGACATGGTCCACAGACATGACATGGTAGAATATTCTGTAATGTTTGTGTTACTGTGGAGGTGCTGGGACCAGTGACATTTTGTTTTCATGTGACTGATAAAGACGTCTTTTATTTCAGATCACCACTGATCCAACATGCCCATGAAGGCATCATCATCATATCCATTGTTTTTGGCTAATCCGCATTTGAAATAAAACTTAGTATCTCTAGAGCCCGGGGCCATTTTAAGTCTCGGACCTTCAAAATTTCAAACAAAAAAATTGGCGTGCATGACCATACAGTCGCCAGGTCCCTTATTTCACCGACTGTTGTCAAATCCGATTGGTTTTCACAGTAAGTGGCAAAATCAGCTACCAGGCGACTATAAAATCACACACGTTATTTATCTATGGGTGATTTCATATACATGTAGGCATATATTTACACCTACTTGTAGTTCAAAAACTGTATTAAGGAATTAATTTTTTAACAGACGATTATTTTTAATAATCATAAGGTCAAGTATAAGTTTCTCAGCCCATTTCTTGGAATGAAAAAGGAGGTCACATTTTAAAACCATAATGTACTTCTTCCAATTAAGATGGAAGTTGGTTTTTCTGAATTTTCATACATATTTATACATATATGTACATGTACATTTAAATGTACATATACATTATGCCTATTACAAAGTAATTGTTGAAAATAACAACAATCTAAAAGGAGAATCTGTTAATAGGGAGGATGGAGGGGAAGCAGACAGTGCTAAGAAGCTACATGTACATACCGTAGCCTCGTTCTGCATTTGAAATGTCTGGGAACTGAATGATACAGTTTTCTTATTCAGCACTGATGAGCTTACACGTACAATGTATGTACGTTTAGGCTGTGCTGCCAAGCGCCTTCTTGGTTTTTTTTTTTATATTTGTTGTCATTGATACATTGCAGTTTAGTACCCATATGTATATTAGCCAAATATTGTTTCGTAAGTTGTTCAGAAAATCCTTACATTGTTGTGCTGATAACATCACAGGCCTCAAGTACCAGGATTAACATTGATGCACCAGTAGCACTGATACCATGCAGAAAGCAAAAGAGATACCAAATTGAGCTTTGAATAAAACGTCAACAGGCTAGATGTTTACTATATATGTAAATGTTACAGTTGCATGGATATTTGTTTTATCCCCTTCTTGACGGGAATTTCTTTCTGAAAGCCGACTCCAAGAATTCCAGCCTCGCTTGGCCACGAAGGCCACCTGCCAAACCGCAAATTCTCGGTATGTGGCCCAGCGTGCTCTGCACGCTTTGAATTACACGGTGAAAAGGCTGATTGTTCGGTGGCATGCGGCTCTACTCAAGCTTCCACATTCCCGTTGCCNACCAATTACCATATACATGTACACAAGAGCCAGGGTCTGCCTTCTTTCACCTTGTTCGCTCGAGCGTGGGCCGAGAATAATAGCTGAAAAGCGGGCTGAGGATCTCGATTTTTACGGCGTGTTTTATCGCGTCCCGCCGTGAAGGAGTTAATGTGAAGCTTGTGGTATGGCTGTACATTTATACTGCATATCGCTGTATAACCATCCATTGAATTTTTAGTAATAAATTTCCTACCTTTTCTTTCATGCCCTCTGAAGTTGGCCAATGTGGAAATCAGGTGAGGAAGTAGTTCTTTTTACATTTGGGCCTCATTTTTCCTTTTTTTTCCCTTTATGTTTTTTTCTTTGTATACATGAGCATATATCAGCATTTAGTGCTGAATGAAATTTTAATAATTCCAGGTTTTTTTTTTTACAAATATCCAGTGAGGCCCCATTAAACTGCTGTGTTAGTTTGTTTCCCCTTTTTTACATTAGCGATCACTCGGATGTTATTTCATATGAACTACACATGAACGTGTATTCAAGATACATGTACATGTACAGTGTTTCAAAATCGACAGTGAGGTTAATCAGGCTGTATAGGATCTTATAGGATTGATCCCCCATACACGAAGGGTTTTGCTCAGATCTTGGTGATTTCAAGAAGGACCCTCAACGTAACCAAGGCTGATGAGCAGTTTAAATTTCTCTTGTACTGGTATGACATGTTTGGATTAAGGTTTTGGAATAGGAGCTGGATCGAGGGACTTCTCGATACACTGATGCACTCAAATGCATATAAGGCTAAAAATGTGTTCTTGGCATGATACAACAGTGTCATAGTTTTAGTTTGGTAAACGTAATTTTGGAACAAAATTGATGAATTTTTTCTCTTTTCAGTGCATGAAAAACAGCGATTCTCTCTCATAAAGCTTTTGGTTCGTTATTTGCTTGTACACTTTGTAACTTCTTACTGGTAGATTGGATGTCGTTTCTGGGATTTGGCCCTGCGGGAGCATGCTGCTCACAACAAGAAAGGTGTCTATGATGATTCATTGAGTAGCTTCTTCCTCAATGTGGATTCAAGGTACATGTTTTGCCGATTACTAGATTTACACCTTGTACCCCCCTCTATTTTTGGGACCCTCTCAATGGACCCTCTCAAGATCTCGGCTGACGAATGGACCATTCTTCTTGAAACTTGGTGACATTCTCACGTATTTGAACTTGTGTGCATTAAGCATGTAATGTGCAGTGAGAAATATACCTGTAAATATTTTTAGCTGACGTGTCTTGGAAAAAAAGCATGTTTTATGAGACTGGTGCACTATATGTCCATTTTTTTTCTAAATTTGGTGCCAAAATGACTACAAAACATTAATTAGTCAAAAAGTACTGAAGGCTGGTCAAAATAAAAAAAGCCTTGAGACAATGTTGGAGAAATACACCCACAGCTCTTTGAGGGTTTTAACAATACACTGCAGTTTTATAGTCAAGACCACTTAAGACCTTCACAAGACCAACACAAGACCAACACAAGACCTCAAGTCTGAATTCAAGTCACAGGCTATTCAAATGAACTGCAACAAAAGCATTCCTTTGTCATCGTTCACCCTTTTACCTGTACTTGTGACTGGTCTTGTGCGCGGTCTTGTGTCTGGTCATGTGATGGTCAAGCCTACAACTCTAATACACTGATACACTCAATTAGAATGCCAGGGTTTAAAGATTCTGGGATTTGTGCAGGTTGCTTTCTTCACAGGATATCTGCCACCCTACTAGTTCAAATTCATTAGAATCAACTGGCAAGGTTGTGCCATTTTGATAATTTTTTAGCTGATTGTAGAGCCCAGCTACATGTAGCTGCCCTAGTACTTTTGGATTTAACCAGCCAGATGTTTTGATTTTCTACAGATTTTGTGTCACAGATGGGGCAGTGTTGCATTTTAAAAAAAAAGGGAACTTTACTGACAAATATGCTTCATGTAGATATTTCCGTGTCTGGTGCCTATATGTTTGTGTGACAGTTTTTGTTTTATAACGATCTTCTGGTTTTTGTCGAGCCGACATGATATAAATAAATCCTGTTATCTGCAGGTATGAGAACCCCCACACTATCGCTGTTGGTGATGGAAAAAGCAAGGTCCGCACCCTCAAAGCTAGGGTAAGCCATGAGAGTGACATTCTATCTGCACAAGGTTGGGCTGATTGTGCAGGAAAATTAGGCTCAGCCAAAAAACGGTTACTCAGCCGAAATGCTACTTGTTGCTCATTTGAGAAGTGTGAGTCAGAACTAGTTGCCACGGCAGTATGTGCTACTGAGTTAAGACACTTCAAGAAATCTTTTGTTTTCCTCTTACATGTACATAAACTGTATTACTCATTTGCATCAGGATGCCAGTCTGACGAGTAATTCAAACTACAACAAAGACAAGTAAAAAAGCATAAGTCCTGGGGACTTATTTTTCTGTGATCAGATCATAAGTGCATGCTACTTTGGACTGGTTCCCTGACTGTTTGTATCATCAAGTGATACAGCACTTCCAGTGAATGACCTTAAAAATCTCTTTTTAGGCAGTCTTGGTTGACATGGAAGAGGGCGTGGTCAATGAGTTACTGAAGGGGTCTATCGGGGAGTTGTTTGATCACAGGCAGCTGATTACTGATGTATCTGGCTGTGGCAATAACTGGTAAGAACCTTGTACTGCACATGAGAATTTTTTGCTCTATCAGTCAGTTATTTGACTTTAATCCCCCCGAGCTGGGTTTTGTGTGTAGTTCATCCTTAATAATACTGAATTTTTTTTATTCAGATGACGATTTGGGGAAGTCAAATGAAGGTTAGACTTGACTCAAGTTGGGATTTCTCTGACGTCTTCGTTTCTGCTTTGGATACATATCGAGACCACGCGCCGTTACTTGCTTCGTGCCCTCTTGTGTCCACTCATTGCTATGAGTTCAGTTCAGAAATCCCGACTTGACAAATCTGTCAACTGTTTGTACACAGCAAGCGGGCTCATCTACCAAAAGTAGTAGCAGCCTTTTGATAGTGATGATCATGTGATGAATGAATTGAGGTTGACAGTGAAAATGAATTTTTCAAACGTTCTAGCAAATGCGCAGCATTTTGTCCTTGTGTAAAATAGAATATCTCTCCCTTTCCTATTACATGATAGGGCAGTTGGCAATAAGATGTACGGTGTGCAGTACCGAGACCAGATATCAGAGCGTGTACGCCATGCAGCCGAGCAGTGTGACTGCCTCCAGTGTTTCTTCCTCACCCATTCCATGGGCGGAGGTAGGGGGGTTAGGGTATGCAAGGAGGGATGTTGGATGTGCTTGGACTCAACTTTGGGCCTGCATTGTTTTCTCTAGCTATATTAAATGGGGGTGCTTGTTCCCTTGGAACAGAACACTGTTGTCAGTCTGTGGGAGGGTATTTGTAGGAAAAATGAATAGCACAACGCTCTGTCCTTGGTGGCATGGCAGAATGTAGCTGTGTGTCTTGTGATGCGTCATTAGAGAGCGCCCTCCCTTGTTATCAGCTTGAAAGTGGTCTTCTTTGACACCTGTGGCAAACATTTCAACAGAATTTCAAATCAAGAGCCATTAATTTCCATACATTACAACAGTAAACATTTGAATGTACAATACAGTGACGAGATTGCTACATGTATAAGGCCAAAGAAGACATGGGTATGGAGGCCACTTTCTTCAAAGCAAAAGCTGGTACTGAAATTGGTCGTTCCTTTGTTCTGTTCAGGTACGGGGTCCGGCGTTGGGACATCAATTCTGAAATTACTTCGAGATGAATACCCAGATGTCTACAGGTAATCAATTAGTATTTGTCTGCCGTTTATTTTGGAGTGAATAGACCACTTAACATCCTGTAAAATGACATCTCTATGTAGGAATGCTTTGTTAAATTTGGACAGTTTTGGAAATCAATTGCCTACCCAACCTTGAATATCACGCTCGTATATGTGCAACTGTTGTCAACTTTGGTCAACAAACAGCCATGTCATCACATGTACATTTATACATGTATGTCTTCTCCTTGTATACAGTAAAATCAATCTTACACTACTGTTTTTCAAATGATTTTGTTTATTTTTCACACAGTTATCACTGGCTTTCTTTTTCAGATTTGTCACACCTGTGTACCCTTCTATTGATGACGATGTCATCACCTCACCTTACAATAGTGTGCTGGCCATGCAGCAGCTGACAGAATATGCTGACTGCGTTCTGCCTGTAGAAAACCAGGTCAGTTGGGCAGAAATTGATTAGTCTATCTTACCAAAATGTCACATGTAAATCAGGTGGTTATATTATGTTGAGTCGTACCGGCAGCTACCACTGCTGAGTGCAGGTCATGCTATGAATGCTAAGGCCATGTCCGAAACGGTCTTCCAGAACTACGACTAGGTCTATTGTCTGCGCGTCTCCGCACATTTTCAATTGAGCGAAGACCAAGACCTAGCTCTTTACAACAGATTCGGATGCAGCCTTATTTACCAGAAAATTCAAGTTCGGCCCCCTGAATTTGGGTTTTCAGCTTGTTGATACTGGGATTTTGAACATCTGTCTTATCAGCAACTGTATGGAGCCTGGGTGATTATGTAAAGTGCCAATTACTAGCGCTTAACTGAACACTGTGTGGGGTATGCATACAGTTTTCTCAACACACGATGACTTTCATAAAGTTAATCACTGATGTTTTATTGAAAGTCCTGAGGTTGGACAACTTGATCAACTGCCCGGGAAGAATTAAGAAGACTTTTCGTCAATGTCATTAAAAGTTTGCATGATGGCATAACTCCTTACGCTGATATATGTTTATATTTTGGTTAAATACTTTTGCTGGTCATCACTGTTGTTTAGGAACTCTGTTTCCTTCCAAGAATGTCTCATCCACCTCTGGGTCATGGAAAAAAGGATCTTTGCTTGTTTAAGTTGAAAGAGAGGCTGCATTGGCACGTAGAGTTTCACTAGCTTGTTAGCTTAGAAACTCAGAAACTAGAAGATTCATTTTTCAAGCCAGCCTCATTTTTTTCTGACGCGGCAATTCCGTGATTTCATGCAAAGAGTAAATTTGATAGTCTTAACCAGTACTGCAGTTACGACCTCTTACTAAAAACCATCACAAGACCCCAGAAAAACACTATGAGACCAACTTAATACAAGACCTCCAATTCAAATTTATATCACAAGCTATTCAAAGGAACCTCAACAAAAGCATTTTGTTGTCATGCATCTGTTACTTGTGGCTGGACTTGTGATGATCTGAATGACAACACCGGCAATAACATGTTTCTTTTCTTTAAACTTTCCAAATCTCAAGGCTCTGTTAGACATCTGCGAGAAGATCAACCAGGCGCTGCCTCCAGAAAAGTCGGGGAAGAGAACCTTTGGGGCGACAGGGCAGGCCAAAGCTGGGACCACCATCTCAGGGTCGGGGAAAAAGGCAGCCAATGAGAAACCCTTTGATCAGATGAACAACATCGTGGCCAACCTGCTGCTTAATCTAACTTCGTAAGTTCAATTGTATCCGTCAATCGATTCCAACCTGCTCCATTGCTGCTTGTATCTTAAGGTTGAGATCATCAGATGCCCAGATTTTATATTTCCTGTTACAAAATTTGTTGCCATGCTAAGTAAAAAAGGAATTTTAAGTAATAAAATGGCTGTTCATGGGGAGATGTTAAATGTAATACTGTTTTTTCCTCCTTGGCCATCATCAAATCCATCGAAATTTGATTGTTGGATCTACACCTTGAGCTGGCTACCTGATTTAATCAACAGTGGTAGTTGATAAGTTATGCGTTGAACAGGAAGTCATTGGCCACACTTTTTGGTTAAGGGAGATTTTTTTCTTCCAAGCTCTTGAACAACAGTGAATGTCACTATGTTACAGTGCTCACTGATTCACATCAGTGAAGAGTAGAATCCACGGTTGAAGAAGAGATGAGTAATCATCTTCTTCTATCTTTGATCTAACAGATCATCGAGGTTTGAAGGGAGCCTGAACATAGATCTGAATGAGATCAGTACCAATCTGGTTCCCTTCCCAAGACTGCACTATCTGGTTGCAAGCCAGGCACCTCTCTACTCACTCCTAGACATGAATCTTCCACCGCGAAGGTAAAACACAAAAGGACTCAATTTGGACATTGAGAAAACCTGTATAGTTGTCAAGTATTCTAGGTACATGAAAGCCATCTTGTACCAGTTCTTCCGTCCTGAGACTTTTAATGGCAGTTCAGTGTATTAATTGATAGTGCTTATGTCTACGAGCAAGACCTTGTAACATTATTACTTCCTGCATCAACAAATGTACCTCTGTCATTGGTCACTGTTGTACGTCACGAGGAAAGTGAAATAAGTTAACTCCCAAATTGAGTTAAGACATGCTCCCCATACATGTAGCTCCAGTTATTACAGCTCTGTCAAGACAAGCTAGCCTCTTGACTCTTAAATACGCATTCGTAGTAATTACATGATGAAGTTTTGTGGTACCGTATCAGAGTTCTTGACAACAGGTAAATAGTACTATTAGCCTTTCCCTGACCTTGAGGTTTCACATAGAATCCTGTTGAATAGGACTACTAGATAATGAATTGGTTTTATATATGATCTATACATGAACAAAATTGTGTGCTCAAATTTCTACTGTAAGTTGAATATAATAGCTGTAACCTTGTTTTTATGAGCGCCTGGACTTGGAGAAAACAACTTTTAATTACTCCGAAAGTGGTCACAGATGTTCACGTATCGTGTAGAAAAACAATCTTGCAGATTCATAGCGAGATCCAGAGTGTGTCCTTGTTCTTGACATTTTGCTTCAGGTTGGACCAGATGTTCACAGACGCCTTCTCCAGGGATTACCAGCTGTTGAAGGCAGACCCCAAGAACTCCATGTACCTGGCCTGTGCTCTCATGTGCAGGGGTAACGTCCAGATCTCCGACATCAGGAGAAACATTGACAGGTTAGTTAACGGCATCAGGAGAAACATTGACAGGTTAGTTAACGGCAACGCAGTGGTTGCATTGAGGTATTTTTGAAATCCGTGCACATGTCCCCTGTGTGCAATTCTGTGAAAGAGATGGTATTCAGTATTACATGTAACTTGAGCAAAGGAATGGACTGGTGTTGAACTTGACCCATGTGACCTCTAGAACACCTTAGCGTTCCTAGACTTGAGATCAAGTCCTTCATTTTGTACATTGTCCATGATACACAAGCCCGTGGGAAGTTACTGTAGTCGCTATTTAGCTGTGGTGTTCATTAGGACACGCCTGATTTCCAGCCACATGACTTGGAGACACAGCCATGCATAAATCCTTGCAAGGCTTTACATGTATAGTATGCCAGCCACACTCTTGTAATATGCCAAGTGTTTCCTCAAAACATGGATTTGTGAATATCGTAATTCATCTGCGTCTGTTGGAACTAGTCAAGGAGCAGGTACTCTATTGTGGGCCCTATTTTGTTTAAACATCTGATTGCAAGTCTTGTAACTTTAACTCGCTATGCCAGAAAATTTTCAAAGTAACCAAAAAGTCTCAACGCATTTTTTGTAAGAAAATAAACAATGCATTGACGGAATCTTTTCTGAGACAAATGTGATTGTAAGTTGAGAGTGTAGCTGTTCCATGTATGATACCTCATAAAAATAGCACAGCGATGAAATTCCAGTGCAGGTGTTTTGCAAGTGTAGGGTGACTGTCACAAGTGGCGAATTTTTCCTTCTTCAATTTTTTCTCCTCTCTAAAACTGAACTTTGTTTTGGAATGTTTTCTTGTCCCACAAGGTTGCGGCCGTCGCTCAACTTCATTTACTGGAACACTGACGGCTGGAAGACTGGATTGTGTTCAGTCCCTCCGGTAGGGCAGCCTTACTCCCTATTGGCCGTGGCCAACAACACATGCGTGCGACATACGTTCAGTGACCTACGAGACCGATTCAATCGACTCTACAAGAGAAAGGTAAATTGCAAATTTGCTGTTTTTGTCCTTTAATACTGCATTTTTTAATGTATAGCTGTATTTCTAATTACCTCTGTGCACCCTTGTTGAGGGCGCTCTTTAGCCTTTCAAGACAGCTGTATATAGGGAGAGTTGCGACATGTTATAGTTCCGCCATTGTTGAAAACAAACTCTTGGGTGTATGCGCTCGTGCACATCCAGTGGGGCGTCTGACTTTTGGTATACAATAGCTGGGCACTCTACCACACTCATAATGAACAGCCATTTCCTTTCCAAAATCTGAAGCCGGTGCTGTTCTCTCTGTATACAGGTATATTTCAAGGGGAGTAAGGTGTGGGCATTTTTCACAGGTCTCAGGTTATGAGCCCATAACTGTACCTCGCACACAGTAACTACTTGTATGTACCATCAATACAGCCACTATATGGCCACACACTGGAACTTTCTAGGTTGAAAAATGAGAGTTTGTGATCAAATCAATCTCCTGTCAAGACTGAGGGCACAAATCTGCCCGACAAAAGATGTTCGCTAACTAAAAGTTGCCGGATACTCAACATTTTGGACTAGATGCTGCTCTTTTGGCCCTCGGCCAGGTTTTTGCAAGGCACATCCAAGTAATACAAATTTATGCAGTTGCAATGCAGTTTGTCAGCTTTCTAGTGGCAAGGAACAGGAATTTAATGAGAAAGAACGACTTGAGAGTTCATGCGACTTCAGACTTGATTGCATTGTGTTAGATATCTCTGTCATGTCTGTTAAAGCTTTGCAGAGCCTTGATGTACAATCTGCCTGCCCTCTGAACGAACGTTACTTGTACTCTTTTTGTAGGCCACCTTCACCATTATACCAACGTGGAAGGCATGGATATGACACTCTTCTCTGAGAGCTTGGAGTCGCTGACATCGTTGATTAGTGAATATCAACAACTAGAAAAAGCTCAGCCAGAGAGCATACCCAGACTACAGATTGCTGTATGAGTTGTCCACTGGACAAGGGACAGATCTGTTGAATAGACAGCACAGCCGACTGTTTGACCGTGAATTGTGCATTTGGTCAGCATCGAGCACCTGAAGCACTATCCAGAATATTACTGTATGACGTGCTAGAAACAGGCATTGAACAAGGAAAGCTGATCCGTGGAACAATTTATTGTATGACTGTGAATTCACAGTCCTTGTTCTTGTCAGCAACTTCAGAAAGCTGATCCACTGATTTCACACATGCCAAGATCACAGATGCTGTACACCTTGTGCGTTGAACAGGTAGTGAATAAGGGAAAACTCGTCTGCACAGCAGAAACTAGTTACTGTTTGTGGAGTTGTTACATGTAGGTTCTTGCCAGTTACTTGAAACAAATCCACAGAGTTGACCCTGATTGCAGGTTGAGTGCGAGTTTGAACAGTGGATAAATGTCAGCAACTTCACAATGGACTTCCCACTTCCCAGATGTGTCTTTATAAGGTAATCATACAATATGCGTTACATTACTGCACGTCGCTCAGTACTCACAAAACTGTCAACTGAATATGCAAAAAAGATTGGTGTAGCATCTCAGTATGGACGGGGGCCACAGGGCATAGTGCACTCCAGTGTTTTCAACTTATCATTTTTACCAGGTCTGGAGGCAGGTGCTGAAATGAAGCCATGGTGCGAGATGGCCAAAGATTAAAGATTGTGGTACTCAATATCAGTACTTAAATGGAATATAAAAGTACCATATAAGGTTTATAGTATGAAAAAAAAAATTCCACCAAAACTTTTTGAACTCTTAATTTTGACCTGCCAAGACGTATGGAATGACTTGCTATTATCCAACTAGCAAAGACCAATAAATTATTGACATTGAAGCCATACATAAACATGTAATGCTAAATGGGATGAGGAAAGGTGTTATTTTTTGTACCTTCAGGTTTAACCACTTGCTGCCGGGTGAATTTTTCTTGAGCAAGACAAGATGCCGGGTCCTTTCCAAGATTTTCTGTTTTCAAAATTCTTCAAAAATTCATCATTTCATTTAATGGCCGTTTATACCAAAATGAAGGACTCGTTGGACACTACTCTAAAGCTGACAGGTTACCTTCATTGACTCCTGAATATTTCAGGCAGGCCTGCAGCCTTGGAAAAAGAGCCCAGATTGTGCGGGGTTATGTAAGATTCCTTTGTTCCCAAAACCGGCACAGTGTACAGTTGACCTCTTTTCAATAGGGGCCAGATTCGCATGCAGCGGTGCAGTGTGGCTCATCGCTGCGGTGGTGGAGAGCTTTTGTCCCCGGTGGTAGTCTGCTCGCTCTAAATGCCTCAAACCGTGGTATACTGTTTCAAAACAAGGCTGGATTATCTTCACTATTGAGAACCAAAAAATGTCTGTAATGCCCAGCAGCTCAGTCTTTTGTGCTGAGCACTGTCTTTTATTATAAAGCCCAACTCTTTTGTTCCAGTTCCGGGCTCCCCAGCTCTGCATATAAAGCCTATGTACTCGAAAACGGGCGCCCGGCAGGGAGTGGTTAATGGTGGCAAAATCGTTTCGTCCAGGTTTGTAATGATATAATTAGGGATGAGAGGACTTGTCATTACCGGAACATTCATTGTTAATGTGCTCACCAATTCACCACACTGTCCACCTTTCCAACAGCAACATGCTCACACCTTAACACATGTAACACAATGGAAGTTGCCCAAGTCTGGAGTACTGGGAGTTTTATACTAATGCAGGGGAAAACTACCTTTTATTAACCACTTCCTGCCGGGGTGCCCAGTTTCGGGCACCGTGTGTTTATACGCAGAGCCGGGGTGCCTGGTTTTGGACAAAAGAGCTGGTCTGTGTAAAAAAAGACTGTACTCAGAACAAAGGACCTGCTGCTGGGAACTGCCTTCATTTTTTGCCTTCCATTTTTCGAAGGTAATCCCGCACTGTTTTGAAACAGTATACCACTGTTTTGGGCCTAGTGTGCCCGTGGATTAGCACTGCAGACAAAAGTGCTCCAGGGCCCCATTGATCAGCAACACAGCGCCGCTGCTCACTTATCCAGCTGCGTGTGAAAAGACGCTACTGGCATTCACTGGAACAAAGGAAATTATGCAACACCTCACAATTCTGGGCTCTCTTTTACAGGGCTGCAGGCCTGGGCTGAATACTCGGGCGTCAATGAAGGTTACCTGACAGACTAGAGTAACCACCAGAGGCCGAGTTTGGGTGGCTTGTCCCCGTATATTCATGAACAGCTAGCTCGATTTGTTGTTCGTGGGTCGGCCGCTCCAACGCCGGGAACAAACAACCGATTATCGATGGTAGTTAGTGACAAGCAGCATGCAACTGGCAGCATCCATGCAGGCTACATTATTCGAGAGTTAATGATTGGATGGGCTGAATTCTTTTCTATATAAACAGGAACATTCATTTCTGTTTAACGGAAAATAATTAATGTTAATTTTGCAAAACTTCCCATTGTCTATGGCTTTGGAAGCCATCTCTCTACTTTTTGCAGCTGTTCAAAAATCAAAATCTCACGAGTTTTTCCGTGTGTTCCTGTAAAACCCTGATGAGGAGGTGGTGTGTGATCCTGTTCCAAGAACAGTGTTCTTGAGTCGTGTTCCCGCCGTTCGAACGTGAGAATAAGAAACTCGTGTCAAGAACAGGCCGCCCGAACTCGACTAGAGAGTCGTGCGTGTGGGTGTAAACGTCCAGTAAAATGAACACATGAATTTTGGAAGAATTTTGAAAAAGGAAAATCTTGAAAAGGTCCCGCCATCACATTCCGCTCAAGAGAAATCCACCCGGTAGGTAGTGGTTAAGCTGCAGCTGTATGTTTGACAATTTAGGAAGTATTTTAATTTTAAAAAGTGCACTTACAATCTCATAAAGTTGTGTGTGAAGAATTTATCCTTTGTACCGAGATAAAATCTTTATCATTTGTACACAACGACTAAAATAAAGACCTTTCTTTGACACAAGCTTCAATGTCTCCCAAGAATGTTTTAATTTCTATACAGAAAAGCACAGGGTGTAATATTTGCAACGGTTCAAGAAAACAAGCACTCCTGAACAGACTGAATTGTTTCAGATGTCAAAATTGAGACTAAAAACATCATTTTCCTTGATTTCTGCAAAGCTCTTAGACTAACAGATTTTTAGTCAGCTTTGGGAAGAGTTCTCATGGTTGTTGAGTGAAACTGATGGCTCAATATAACAAAAGTCATCAGTCATAGGATTGAAGGTGATGCCCCAATTTCCCCTTGTCTGGAACCCTGACTCCCATCTATGCTTCTCCTGATGGCATGCTGCGGATGATGTCACTGTCGCCTGTGAATGATGCAAAGGAAAAATGTCGGCAATCAATAAAGACTTTTTCAATTTGACAAAAAAGTGGGACTCGGCCCGTGAACGTATAACAAACCAAAGGAAAGTACAGGTCAAGATAAAAGAACTGGAACAAATAGCTATGAAACACTTTCTGGAAGTTGGTAATTTGTTCTGATGTAACAATTCAAAGTTCATGTTGACATGCTATTTCTACGTGTATTTTTTTTCCCTAGCCAAAAATAGATCCCAAATGTATTGTTGACCATATTCATCCCGGAGGTCTTTGAACAGCTGAACAAATTTTGTTGAAACCAGAAAGACTGCTCCTACGGGGTACTGAAGTGAATATGTCATGTGAGGAACTCTGCGTGTAAAAGGCATTAGTGCAAGAACCAGAGCATGAACCAACACGTGTGTATACTCCGCTCCTTTGCACGACTCCTGGTTCAAATGACGTCATGTAATTAGGTTTAGAGCCTATTCATAATGAAGAAGAGCGACTGACATTGGCATGTTAACGATTCTGAACACTGACAGGTGGGCAGAGAACTGTACAATACGTTAATGACAATGTCATCAATGATACAACTTGACAGCATCATACTGGCCATCTCTGGGACACAGTGCCTCCAAATGCACCAACTCCTCACTGGCCAGATTCACTGTATGGGTTTTTTCCTCCAGAAAATCACTTCCTTGTTTTTTTAGCTCAGGCTAAACGGTGTGAATGCAAATGACATAAAGCATCCCTCTAGTACAGTTTTATTTTTTTTCCCCTCTTGGAATCCCACCATTGTGCTTCCATCTGGGTAGACCCTTACTGGCCGTTCACAGGCTTCAACTCACCTGGGTCTGTGATGCAGAGCGTGCACACCCTGAAGTATTTCCCACATGCTGTGCCCAGCTCAATGTTGTTACCGGTGTAGTGATGGACACCAGTCTTGGCCAGCATGGCGTAGTATTCAATCTCACTTTTCCTGTTTGCAACCAGCCGCATGACAATTTGTAGAAGGGGTCATTGGCTAAACAGTGAGTGTTGGTTTTCTAGCATTCTAGTAAAAGACATAACCAACCTTGGAGTATGCTTTTATTTCTTGAGAGTATCTTGGAGGGGTGACCATTGCCTTAATGCTTATATCATCACCAACACCACGACCTGACACACATCTTCACTTTTGTGCCAGTTCGTGAAAAGCGTGATTAGAGCCATTTTGGTTTCACGAAGTGACACAAATGTGTGTTTTGTCAATTATAGCATAGAAAAAAAAGCTTTAAATGTCTAGAGTGATTTTATTTTACCCGTAAATGGGTGACTAAACTGAAAAAAAAATGCTCTCAAAAACTCAAACCTGTGTAAATTAAGGAGAATGTCAATTTCTGAATACGGCAAATCACGAAGCACATGACGCAAGACATTTGTGCCTCTTCGTGAAAACGAAAAATCACATTTCTATAAAACACGCATTGAAGCGCGCACACATCCACAGATCTGTGTTAATTCATGGTGTTGGTGACGATATACCCTCTGGCAATTCCTGTCACCACGTTGGGGCATTGCAAATGATACTCGGGAGCAATGTGGATGATGTGAAGTATAATCCAGGCCTAATACGTGCATGGTTGAGCAGAAACAACCCAAGGTCCAGCCCATGACGTTGAAACCCTGCATCCTTCAAAAATCACCCAGAAATTGCTGCTACCACAGCCTAAGTCCTCTAAAAACCATCCAACACTGCTAGGAGGACTTGGGAGGCTTGGCAAATTGGGTTAAAGAGCACTCTCCTCACCAAAATTGACCGTGTTTGAGAAAAACTGAAAAGTAAAATGCCCTGCTTGAATTTAAAATTGACAGTTTAGCCTTAGGGGGAGGGGGAAGACAGACATGCTGACAGTTTTTGTCTTACCTGAGTGGAAGCGTGTTGTTGGCCAGGATGACCAGCTTGCCTTTGCCTTGCCGCAGGGCCTTCAGGGTCTGCTTGTAGCCGAGGTGGTATTTGCCACTCTTCATCACCAGCTGCAAGCGGGAGTTGATGCTCTCCATCTGCTTCTTCTGCTCAGGCAAAGATTGAGAAGACAACAACAGGGGTGGTAAATTTTCACCTCTCTCATATTAAATAAGCTTCAGTCTGCTGAATGCTACAGCAATCTAGCAGCAGTTGCATTCAATGGGACTGGTATGGCATACTTCTACAAGTCATTTGGCGTTTCTTCAGGCAAAGACAAAGAGGCCATGACACGAGCTGTAAATTTCAAAGGCTTGCAATGTATCTTGAGATTCTCAAACCTGTCAAATGCTTCCATTTACATTGTAATTTCATGTATTTAATAATGTTGCGAGACTTCGACGGTGACCACATTTCCGTGCACATCTGTGTAAATTGAATGCCGACCACCAAAAATCGCGCGGCTGAAAATCCTCTATAGCAGACTTTTAGGTTACACAGGCAAATAACACAGTACCACACTCGCAAATGAAGGTACAGTTGCTGCTCTTCACACTGACAGACAAAATTTCAGTCACATTCACGACAGGTGCCGTAGATGCATAATTCATATTGTCACAGTATTGCTTAGTAATAAGTTGCGCATGCACTTTGCTAGTGTACAGCATGGTACAGCGACATGCATATTAATATTATTCAAATTTCATTCCACTGGTTCCTCGTTCGTCTGTCATGCAAGGTGACGGGAACCAGTTTTGTATGGTACGGGTGCCATGAAATCTGACGCATGAAGGGCTGCCTTCGTTTTTGAAAATGGTGATGCCCACGGACTGCATATAAATATCATAGGCCGGGTTTTCCAAGGTGCCATACATCGGAAAATATACGGTTTTGGAAAGCTTTAGGGTGTTTGTATAAAAGTCCAAACTAGGAAGAATACACTAGTGTTAGTAAAATTGTCGAGTCATTCTCATTTAGAAAGAAATCAAGATTCAAAGTTTGTGACAATCCTGCAGTTTGGATTTCAGGTATTAAAGTCATGCCTTGAAGGAGGGCTGTGGTGGTGACAGGATAGAGACACATTTCTGCTCAATTGCAGAATACCCCGCCACCGCGGTGCACGATCAACCTTATAGCCAGGTACAGGTCAAAGTGTCACACTCTTCTCAAGAGATTTTCACCTTGTACTCACGCAACCAGTCATTCCAGGGGTCGTTTTTTAGAGTGGCGGGTATTCTGCAATTACTCCAAGATTTCAAAGGAGAACCATCACAGCTCTACGTGCAGGGCTAAGTCCATCGGTCATGCAATTTAGCATCAACAACTTGAAAATACCCTCTACAGATTCAAAAGTGGTTTTATTATATTTTAGAGACTCTATAACACTTGCCACTGTATAAGAGAAACACGAAATTTGCTTCCAGATTCTCGTAGGAAAATGAGAATTTTTCACAAAGTACGAGGGCCGCCATCTTTCTTTCCTCTGCCATCCACGCGAAAACAAGATGGCGGCCCGTCGGACTGCACAAACAGGCCCGACTTTTTCACTCAAATTTCAACACTCAAATATCATTTCAGATAGATATAATACATTGAATTTGATATGTAGGATCCTACTTAACATTGCATATAAAAAATCTTTGCATAAATATGCTTGAATAACTTGTTGACACTCGATGATGCTTGTTGAGGCTAAATAGCATGACTCAAGTCCATACCTACCTTCTAAAAAAGGCAATTGCAAAAGGAGGAATTTGATTAGGCCCTAGCTAGGGGAGGCCTTGCTCTACTGAGTGGAGCATTAGTATTCCTCTTTTCCGATTTTGGACGGGATCGTCATACTAATGCTCCACGACATTACATATAGTAAAGTGACAACGGCTCTCAAAAATTCCAAAGACTCACCAAAAATACCTATTTGACCACCTACTGGCTTTTTTAAATGCCAAAGGAAAAAATTGGGGGCTTTAGTGATATTTCCGACCGCAAAATCTGTCAAAATCCAACTGTTTGTGCTGGACACACGCACGACACTAACTTTTCGATGCCTCCTCCCATTCAAATACGCGTGCCGAGATTTTGCTATTGCAATAACTCTATGGAGGAACATGGTCTTCTAATGAAACTGCAGAAGCGGCCCATATGCAGTCGGGGCACAAGACGTATTGTATTGACCAGGAAACAGTCATTGGTAGCACTCCCAAACGTCACGATCCACAAGTCTTGTGCCCAGCCAACATATACACTTCTCATGTGTGTGCGTCAGGGGAGGACAGTGTTCGCCTATAGAGTTGGAGTCGTTCTATTTGAATGGGAGGAGGCATCAAAAGTTTGAAAGTAGTGTAGCGGTTTTATTGTACACACATGTATTAATTGTCCTGTTGTGCACTCCACACTTATGCATATTTAAGTGCATTATGGGAAAAGCTGTACTGTGGGATTGGCAAGATCGTTCCTGTGAGTTGATTGCATATTTCTGAGTAAACCTAATCATTTGTGTTTGTATTTGTTTATAATCCGCATTGTCACCCATGTTCTGTCAATGCCATCTGATCCTGTTTGTAGCGCATAATCCTGTTAAAGGGTCTCGAGCAAAAACTGATGGATTTTGACAGAGTCTGCAGTCGGAAATATCACTGAAGCCCCAAAGTTTTCCTTTGGCATTCAAGACAGCCAGTAAGTGATCCAAAAAGTATTTTTGGTGAGTCTTTGGAATTTTTGAGAACTGTTTTCACTCTACTATATGTAATGTCGTGTAGCGTTAGTATGACTGATCCAGTCCAAAATTGAGAAAGACAAACGCTCCACTCAGACAGTCATGACAGTAGAGCGAGGGGAGGCCCTAGCCAGGTTGGAAGTTGTCTTCATTTTATTACGACTGACATCCAAGGTATAAAAGTTGTGTACAAAACGGCCACAAATTTTGTTCTACTGTAATTTATTCTTGGTTTACGTTGATGAAGGAACTGATTTTTCATGTTTACAAGTTCTAATATTTAATAATAAAAATTAAAATGGCAGATATCCAACACGAAAGAAATTAAATAGAAGAGAAGAAAGAAGTTCTCAATAGCACTGCAACAGCAACTTGAACAAGTCACACAAGTTGAAATTGACCAAGTCCAAGACCATTCACATACGTAACAATAACATGCTCTAGTCTCGTGTAAACTCCTAAGCCCATACTATAGCATAAACCCATTCCTACAACTGGTACAATGATTCATACATTTTCGACACCACTCACCTGCTTTTTTGACGCGACCATTTTGGGCGGTTGTGGTTGTCTCAGTCCACTAAATCTACACACACAAACGGAATACACATCAAATATTATTTTAAAATCTTTGTAATAGAAAAAGACGTGTTCTGAACAATTCAAAATGGGAATTTGTTCACGGACTTAACTTACCAAATTGAGGATTGCAACCACGTTAGGAAAGAGAAAATTTACCCAGGATTCATCAGCAAGGCCGTATCCGAATAGCTTGGCTACGGCTAGAATTGTACATGAGTCTATGGGAAATGCAAATATCCACTAGCGAGCGGCTTCCATAGATGTGTGTGGTTTTCAGCCTTTGCCAAGTCGCGGCCTAAAACTTGGCAATTACTTGAATTGCGCGTGCGCAAAATTGGTTACAGGCCATTGAACTTTGAGGTCAAATACCATCGCGACGAGAAACGCTTTGCCGTCTGCTGTTGTACTTTTGCCAGGTTAAAAAAGGTTTTCAGGAGCTGACCATTTCCCATTCTTAGCATGACGTAATATCAGAACTGTTCTGAGCAACCGAATATGTTTATATATTTGAGCAAAAAGGTAAGAGCTGTAAATTAGAGATCTGAAGTCTTAAATGAGAATGACTCAAACTGAAAGTCTCCTGCTGTCCAGCCTAGCCTATCTATTTTTACGCATTTGATTTGTCTGGGTGCCGCCTCTTGTCGTGTACACGGGTGTATGATCAGACGTACAAAAACGACTGACTCCAAGACCATGCAGACCAAAGACTGACCAACCAATACTTTGATAGTCAAAAATTCCCCTCTTAGTCCTAGACTAGTCCCAGTGTAAGCCAAATCTTACTCATCTGGCATGTGTGGATCTCGAGAACTTGTAATCCAAGACTGTGGTTATAAATATAGCAACATGATAAGACTTAAATTACGATCCTTTACATGAAATTAAAAAGAACACACCGGATAACTGAACATATTGGTTGTTATCTGGTTTGCCGATCTCTTCAGGCACAAGTAACCTGCCTAAATGCATAGGCCTAGACCTCTACTAAATTTCTTTGGCCTCTGCATATATTTTATCATTTTTGTGGTTTTCTTCTTCATGTTCTTGTCGCCCATTCATTAAATCTGACACTGGATGCCATAGGCTATCAACAAAATTACTGCAAAAACTATTTGCACGCACCATTGAGCAAAGTAGGCATGTCATCTGCCCTTACTTGACCTGCATGTCTGCTGAATATTAATCTGTTTTATGACATGATGCCTCAATAGACCTAAAACATGATGACATAATGCAATGTTTACCGCAGTGCATTGTGGTTGAAAACTGAAAGTGTGGATAGAAATCAAAGATGGCTGACACAATCGTCAGTCATGCGTGCCTTCGGGCGACTTTAGACGGAATAAAATTGCTGTGTCCTGGAAGCTTGAAAAATGCAGCTTTGGCGTTCGCCGTGTGCTTGATACATAACAGTGGCACACAAGATGTAACACAAAAAATTTTGGAAAGTATAGGCCTTCTCAATCTCAGGATCTTTTGGACAATTTTCCATGTGCGTGATGTTCTAGCAATGGCGTGCCTACTGTCGTCCCCACCTTTCACCCACAATGCACCACAGTAAACATTGCATTACGTCATTATGTTTAAGGTCTATTTAACCTCACCTTGTTCAGATGTTCAAGCTACATGTACATGTGGGTCCATACTTGTTTCACACTGTGTTGCATTGTACTGACACCAAATCATCAAGCTATAGATTTGGGATGAAGAAAAAGAAAATTTGGAGAATCACCTCCATGACTGTCAGTTTCTGTCTTGGACAAAAATTATGGATGTCAATGAGTAATTATCGGCCAGTCGACTGATTGAATGATTGAATTGATTTGGTATTGCCTCAGCAAAAATACAGTGACAGAAATAATAAAATACAAAAATACTATGAACGAGAATTGCACAGTGTATACAAAATCAGGTAATACCAGGGATAGCCCGTCAGGCAATACCAGGGATGGATAGCCCAACAGGTAATACCAGGGATAGTCCCTCAGGTAGTACCAGGGATAGCCCATCAGCTAATACCAGGGATAGCCCATCAGGTAATACCAGGGATAGCTCATCAGGTACATGTAATACCAGGGATAGCCCATCAGGTAATACCAGGGATAGCCCATCAGGTAATACCAGGGATAGCCCAACAGGTAATACCAGGAATAGCCCATCAGGTAATACCAGGGATAGCCCATCAGGTAATACCAGGGATAGCCCATCAGGTAATACTAGGGATAGCCCATCAGGTAATACCAGGGATAGCCCATCAGGTAATACCAGGGATAGCCCATCAGGTAATACCAGGGATAGCCCATCAGGTAATACCAGGGATAGCCCATCAGGTAATACCAGGGATAGCCCATCAGGTAATACCAGGGATAGCTCATCAGGTAATACCAGGGATAGCCCATCAGGTAATACCAGGGATAGCCCATCAGGTAATACCAGGGATAGCCCATGAAAGTTTTGCAACTTATTTCTAATGGGTTCCCTATTATTGCACTAAAATAGATAAAAAAAAATTGAGGTACAACAAACAAAAATGAACCAACAACAAAGACAACCAAAATATGACAACAGTGACTGCAACAGCGACAGCGAAAACAACAAAAATGACGACACAGGAAACGAAGCAACAACAACAACAAATACAAATAACAAATCCAGAAGACCCCAAATTTCCACCAAAGAACCGCAACACCAAATTTTACAAAAAAAGAAAAAAAAGAGAGAAAACATTACAGACAGACAGGAAGCCCAAACCCAGACAGGCAGACAGACAAACCTAGACCGACGGACAGGCAAGCAAACAAACAAACAACAAAAACAAAAAGAGTTGCATCACAGACAAACAGAAAACCAGACAACCCAACATCCCTTCAAATAGTATCAGTCAGTCAGTATCAGGACTTGAAGCTCATTCATCCCACATTGACCAATGAGGAAACTCATGTTTATTTTCCGTCCTAATGCCTAAAGGCTATGATATAGCCTTTAGGATGGAAAATAAACATGAGCTATACATGTAGTTATTTGTTCTAATACAGTTAGATTTTGAGCTTGAATTTGTTTGTTCTTCCAAACTGCTGAAAATTAATTCATTTTGAAATTGTTTAAGGCATCAGTGTCTGACTAATGCAGATAGGCATGTACCGATTCTTAGAATATATTTTGAAGTGAAGAAAATATTAAATTGATTTTTGACTAGTTCACTTTTACTTTCCCCTTAGGTTCATGCATAAAATGTGTGTCTTTTGGTCACCCGATCCCACATGGACTTTGTGCAGTGAGAATGTCAACAAGATTTCTTAAATTGATCATTGATTGAATTCATACTTATAAGACGGAATTCAGACCTACATTGTAGGCTTGGCCTAGTGCTATCTTGGTTTTTTCCCCTGAAATAAATCCTCTAGAGCCACAGGTCACAGAGAGAAAAGTTTAGCGTGCAGTTTGTTCAACAGTTCATATAAACAACAAGTGGTGTTTCTTCAGACTTCTGGCCTATATTTAGCAATGAGACCCATGTGGTAAGATGGTTTCTTCAGTGAATGTACACAGTGAAACTGGTCAACGATGTTTCCTGCGAGTTCAACAGTCGGCTTCTTCAGGGACACATGTTTCATCAAGCCATAACCAGGCTTAAAAGCTATGGTTTGTAAGGTCTGTTTGTAACCGAATATTTCAAATGGAATAATTGACGATTGTTTTTATCTCCCATCATTTAGATCGCCATTCCCAACAACACCAAGCTGCGGTGTGTGTCATGGAACCAGGAACAGGGTTTCATCGCCTGCGGTGGGGAAGACGGCTTGCTAAAAGTTCTTAAGCTAGAGATACAGACAAGTAAGTGGGGGCAGGGAAAGGCTGATGTATGTTTTAGCTTTTATTGGAATAAGTAAACTGAAATTCTTGTTTTGATGTCTCCTTCTGTTTGGCTGCTCGATGAAAATGGACACTGTGTGGGTGAAAATGTAGAGAGTTCTCACTGATGTTGTTGTTCGTGATTCTTTTTAAGGTTCTCAACTCCAAACGGCCCTAATAACTTGCTGTGTCATTCATGCAGTTGGGGGCACGTATTGCCTCAAGCCAAGCCACAAGGTATTCTAGAAAATGGAGATAAAAGCATTCCTGGTTCACTGTTCACATCCTGCTCCCCGTGACTTGTCCCGTGAAACCATGTGTGGCAGGGCCTGTGGAAGGCCTCTTCACCTTTTAGAAAGATTATGCTCTGATCAAAATAATTTTTGATTTCTGTATTTTAGGTCACTGTGATAGGAGCAGTTTTCAGCAGTCAAAAACATCACCTGTTTTTATTTGCTTGGATATTTTACTTTTCTCTATTACACAGGTAAAGATGCCAAAATTCGAGGGCTTGCAGCACCCAGCAACCTGTCAATGAACCAAACACTGGAAGGCCATGGAGGTAAAAAGAATGACCGGTCATTGTAGCAATCGGGATCTCTACACTCAGGTTAAAGACTCCATGCGATGAATTTCTATGAGGCACAGTTTTTGTGGAACTTGATACCCTGCTCTTGTTGGAGATCCCTTTAGGGCCAAGTGTATTGGGAAGACCATTTCAACCCTTCCCTGCGTATGTGTTTTTTTATTTCCACTAACTCTTCATATGGGGATTGTGGTGATGCCGGTCTTATAATCTCGTTATTATTAATTTTTGAGCATAGATTTTCGTCTAAATGGTTTTAATTTCTTACATGGATGCCCTCTGCACCCTCAAACCATTAACCAGTAACAGATAAGCATTTAAAATTGTCCTTGCTTTTTTGCATGACTGAGGGCGCTGTTGCTAAGATGTCATCCCGGGAAAACCCACAGTTCAGTTTATACTGTAGGTTTTTTTTGTTCCAGTTATGAACCCAAATGTCTCTCATTGAAGTCATATCTGAAAGCTCGCTGGCTTGTTACCATGTCCTTACACATGTGAATCACCAACGAAAAGGACATTTAGGATAGCAAAATATGTTCCAGCAGTTTGGCTTTTTTGTCAACAAATTTATACAACATTTAGGTTTTCTCCCTGGAATGAAATCACAGTTTTTCTGTTGATTATTGACATCGACATTAGCGAAACAGAAAAATAAGCCTAATTTTGACTGGTGGGTTTTAAGATTTCTTTGTAACAAAAGTATGTAATGTTTCCAATCACTGTCGATTTGTTAATTTTTGGAGTGGAGCCTTTTTAGACCAAAAAGATGGGCATTTTGAAAGGCTGTAGTGAAAAATTGCATTACACAGAACCTTTAAATTTGGAGAACCGTCCCTTGGTGTAATCATTGGACTGATATTTTCTTCATCCTCGTCGCGTAAGAGTAAGTTACTGGTCTTTCATTTCACCACTACTGGGGACAGTGTCCTGAAAGTGACAGAAAAGGAGAAACATTTGTTCATTTCAGAAAACAGTTCCTTGGCAGTAAATGCATTATCATCCAAAATGTCAAAAGATGCAGGCCGTGTCCAAGTTAACATGCTTGAGACTAGAAATTACATGTGTGTTACTCTCAAAATTGCTGTTAGCATCGATAGCCGTTTCTCATAGAATTGTGTATTATTGACAGCCACAGTCAGGTGATTTAGACATGGTCCTACTGTGCATGTGGCCATTCTTGTAACAGCAATAGTTAACGTGTCTGATATGTATAGCTCTATATGACAGTAGCCCCTAAGGCTGCAGTATCATGTGCAGCATATATGAATATTTGGTGTATCCTTATTATATTCCAATTATACAATCAGGTGCCGTGCAGGTCACAACTTGGAACTCCCAGTACCAAAAGCTGACCACCAGTGACCAGTATGGCCTCATCATTGTATGGATGCTGTATAAAGGTCAGGTAGTCAAAAATATAATCATCACCTGTGTTCAAGGGCTTTGAGCTCTTTCTATTTTTAGTTTTTGCCTATTTTGCGTGGTGTATCTGCATAACGTCTCAGACAAAGATGCTGCCCATTTGTGCACATTCAAATGAAAAGTTGATAATGGGTAGTCTGCCTCACAAGTATGCAAAACTACATGCAGGATGTGTTGCTGTCCTTTACTGGTAGACGACACAGTGCTAGGAACAGTTTACACAAAGTGGATGTGATGATTGACGGAAACCAGTCTATTTTTCTCCCAAGCGTCATCATCATTCGGCTGCTGCGGAGCAGTTGACCACAATCTTCTTCCACACATGTCAATCCTGTGCTAGGTTTACTAGGTCTGCTGGCCCAAGCACCGTACATGTTTCTGTTGCTCCTACCAAACGCTGTGTGTGTGATAAGTCTGTTGACCGTGGGCGTTCTGACATTCTGCTTTATTTAGGTTCTTGGTATGAGGAGATGATCAACAACAGAAACAAGTCTGTAGTACGGAGCATGGCATGGACACCAGACGGCCAGAAGATATGCATCGTCTATGAAGATGGTCAGTGTAATTCAACCAACAAACCTCAAGCAACCAGATACTAAATGTCTCAATTTACTAGATACTAAATTGTTTGAATGAAGTTACAATGCAGCAAAAGAATATTGGTAATATTATTACTCACTACTTTATTTTGAAGAAGGAAGTTAATTTTAAACCTGAAAAAATTTATTATGTATGATTGATATGTTTGTGTTACTTATTCACGAGTATTATAGATGCAAATTAATGACTGTTTAGTGTTGCATTCTTTGATTAAACAAAATTACATTCACCAAAATGATATCAAATTCAGTTTTGTAAACAGCTAAATGCACCAATCAGGTTTCATTGCAAACTCAAAGAGTAAACACTGACTCTGTAAACAATGTTCTCCGAATCCACAAAGGCATTAAATAAGTGACATTTTCTTTACACTCAGGCGCTGTGATCGTGGGGTCTGTGGATGGCAATCGAATCTGGGGCAAAGACATCAAAGGCATGCAGCTGACCAACGTGGAATGGTCGTGGGACGGCAAACTGCTGCTGTTTGGCATGAGCAACGGGGAGATTCACATCTACGACAGCCAGGGAAACGTCTGTGTGAGTACATGTACATCAGAATTGAGGGTAGGGGCGGGGCTCAACAGAAACAGTATTGGGGGAGGGCCAGGACAGTTTTAAAGAGCGATTCAGAGGTTCATCAGGGAACTGTTTTTATGACAGAGAGGTGGAAAGTTGGGGTTGGGCTTCGCTGGAACACGGGGTGGGTTTTTTTAGGCCCATTTCAGAGTGGGAATGTGGGTAAAGTTGAAGTGGCAACCATTTGTACACCAATGGTCGATTTTACCCGGTACCCAAGATGTATTTTATGCACATGTTACCAGGGAAAATCAATTAGTGGTCCACAAATTGTCGTCACCCAAACATGGAAGTGTTCATGTGACAGAGAGGTAGAGTACCGGGGGGGGGGAGATTTGATGAAACAGAGGATGAGTCTAGGGCAGTTTAGAATATGTGTTCAGAGCTGCATTAAAGGGGACTGTGTGTTAGTATACCGTACCTCATAACATTGTGAAGGGTGGTGATGGACTAAGACGAAGTGTGGATGGTGTTAGGGCAGAGATAATTGATGCCAGTGTCAGTCACTCAGGTTTAACCCTCCTTTGGTTTGACAGCACAAATATGCACGAGTGCCCACAGTCACTCTCTTGCATGTGTTTTCTGTTTTCTATATGGAACACAAACATGCACAGGTTCAGTGTGTACACAGTAGGTTGCCAGCACAAAATGACCCAGGGTCTTTTGTGCAGTCCTCTTCACTTTATTTGGTTTACTGCACAATTGTGCACATGAAACAGTGAAGCACAGTTGTTGGGCAGCACAAAAGTGCAATCTGATATTCCTGTGAGAGAGAGTTGGTGCCCTGCACAACACGACACAGCTGTGCTTCTTTGAGGTGTTTACTGAGTGATCCAAAGAGTGACTTCAGCATAGCAGGGTTAATGGAGAAGTGGCTGAGCAGAACATTGAGCTTCGTAGGTTACCATAAAGAAATTGACCAGCCAACAAGCTTTCTAGCATGTGTGTTGGCACATAAAGTTTATATGAGCAGTGTTTTGCAGGATATGTAGCTCCGTGAAACATTCATCGGGGGATCTCAGACTGTCACAAACAGTGAAGTTACAGTAAGAAATGTCAGACAAATCTCATGCACGTGATTCTGTTTAGGGTGGCATCCCAAACGTAGCCACGGTATCTTGGCATTTTTTGCAAGTCAAAAGTTTAAGTTTTGACTGAAAATAATACCATGAATGCACGCTGGGGGCAACTTTGTTGTGAAACATCACCTCTTGCAAGTGGATAAAAATCCACGCAATTTGTCAATAAATTCACCTACTGTAGTTGTTTTGAAGTGTGACACCATTTACCAACTCATTATTCTCCAGAACAAGCTGGTGACTTACTGTTTGGCCAACGTGACCGGTGCAGTAAAGATCGCGGGCATCGACTGGTACAACGGAAAGTACGGCTACGTGGAACCCAGCTGTCCCACACTGGCGATATGCTTCGACAACGGTCGAGCACAGATCATGAAGCACGAAAACGACGAGAGTAAGTCATTCCAGGAAGATTCCACATTTACACCCTCAACCGCCATGAAGTTTGCCAAACTGCAGAATTAAGAAAAATCCTTTCAAAGTTGTTGTTTCAGTCTGACCTCAGCAAAGTTGCATTAATTTCTTATTTTCATGTTAGATGATTTGCTTCTCACAAACATACATATTCATATGCTCTGTATACTCAGTGTTGTCTTGTGACAAAATTCACCAGCGTACTCACTTACGCTTCGAATCAACCATCCCCTGCTTACGAGCATAGATGTCTTCCCACTTGACCACTGAGCTGGCTGAGGTCGGCTGGCTAGTTCCAATCCGATGTATTGGGCCAAACAATTTATAAGATGCCATTTTCGCTTCTGAGAGAATTTGCCCAAGTGACTTTGCTGTCAGTATATCTGAACTAAGCGAATACTCAGCGAGGCAAAGAGGAATTCTTTCTAATTTTATGGATTGTTACTGTAATTTTTCAGACCCTGTGTTGATAGACACTGGTATGACCGTGGTACAGATACAATGGAACCATACCGGCTCGGCGCTCGCTGTCGCCGGTTCCCAGAAGTCAGCCCAGCAGGACAAAGACATCAACGTGGTGCAGTTCTACACACCCTTTGGGGAGGTAAACGACAGTGGCCTTGGACTGAGATGTGTTGTCACATTAAGGAAACACTGTGTTGAAACTATGCCAATGGGACTTGCAGTCACTTGCCTCGTAGGTACTCATAGTCAAAGCCATGGGTTTCATACACAGTCTGACATTTCATCCTACTAGTATGGTCTCCCTTCCCTTTTCCACATCATCAGCACCTGCGTACCCTGAAGGTGCCAGGCAAGCAGCTGACCTCAGTCTCCTGGGAGGGCGGTGGCCTCCGCATCGCCTTGGCCGTGGACTCCTTCATCTACTTTGCCAACATCCGGCCGGACTACAAGTGGGGCTACTGCGCCAACACAGTGGTGTACTCCTTCTCCAAGCCGGAGCGGACCGAGCAATGCGTGGTATTCTGGGAGACGGTCAGTGGGGAGGTAGGCGCTCAGCAGCAGGGAACAATATTGTTAAGACCAAAACTCAATGCTGGCATGCTTGCCGCTGTGATTTTCTTGGTTACACCAGGGGTGTTCATCTATAGGGGTGCGTTTAGTAGTGCAATGCAAATGCAGGTATTGGCCATGCAGGTATTGGATGATGCCCATATCATAGAGGTAAAGGGCATACAAGTTGGCTGATGGCAGATTTCTTACTCTGTTGATAACTGTTGCCACATTTGTTTACATTTCTTCATATGTATGGTAGGCTGTGATTCAGTAAACAGTGTGGGACCTCCGGTGTCAGTGCTCCCTTCAGTGCAGATTTAGTGTGCTATAGAGCATGGTACAGGTTCCCTTGAGTCCAATGCCTAGTTTTTGTATGGGACAGAAACTTGGGCACTCAATCCCAGTGTATATTTTGAAGCATGTATAGTCGACAAATTAAGAACCATTGTAGCCTGTGATTGTGTCAATTCCGAACGGAATGTCACCAGTGACAGCAATAATTCCTCCTGTAACAGTAAGAAATCACTCAAAGGTGGGAAGAAAATCAATATTTCCTGAAAAAATTCAAATTTGGTCCTCAGGAGCATAAAGAATGGAAGCTGTATCAAGCAAGTTCAGTACTAAAAAACTGATGGATGAGTATCAAGATGGACAAGTTTGCTGTTAGGGATAAACACTTTTTAGCCAGGCACCCTATATGACTGAGGCCGGCAACTGTCAAAGTCCAACCATAGAGTAGTTAAACTTAAGAAGATTTGGAAAAAGCAGAGAGAAATTAAGTACATGATAATTGCACACTCACAGAGCGACGATAAAGCAAAACTTGTTTCATGGTAACATCGAGGCCAAGATGAAGTAAGTTCATTTCATTTGTTTTGGGTTTTCAAAAATCTTTGTTGTGTAAAATCTCCTCTTTTCTCTCTTTCGGCCAGCGTCATATCAAGTACGTCCGCAACCTGATATCGGTCACAGCATACGGCGATCACTGTGTCTTGGCGACAAGGGCAGACGAAAGTATGGGACAGGTCAGTCTGACGAGTTTTCTGTGGATCGTATCATTTATTGTATCATCAGCTGAGATCATATTCTCTGGCAATGAACATTCACCCTGTGCATTGAAATTGCAACCAATCAGGTGCCACCGTTTTTCACGTAACCAAACAGGGTGAGCATAGAATCAGCATTTTGTCCATTTTGTTTTCCCATTTTTGTTGAAATGTTACTGAGTTCACTGTTTTAAGTGACGAAGTATCTCCAAAACAAAATGTTTCAGCAGATACCTGATCAACTACCCTCGTAAAAGTATGTCAAAATCAAATGACTATGCACTTCTTTACTGGACTCCTTTTGTCTTTGCGCACATACTGTCAACTTGCTCGCGGTCAGCAGTGCTCGTTGCATCCTGGTCTGGTCCAAGACCAGCAAGGAATGAAAACACCGACGTGAATTCGTGACGCCACTGCGAAAAGCCGTGATGCAAATTCGCCACAAGTTGAACTCTTTCCAGCCCTGGCAGTATTTGCCATGAGGTGTTTACATATGCTTACATGGTGAGCCTCTGTTGAAGCATTGGCTAAACATTTAAACGTAATGGGAAAGTTGTTCTAAACATTCATCAAATTAAACATAGATTCCCACCTATAACTGCCATTCAGCAATTGCCACTGTCCACAAAGTGATAAATTAGTACGACTTGCAGCAACGTATCGAATTAATTTCATTATTTCCATCCACATTTCACCCAAATTTAACCTGCTTCCCTTTGCACATACGAACAAATGCTTCAATATCCTGCTTGCCTCGTGCTTTTTTTCTCATTTCTACACCCTCCTTAATTCCCTGCTGTCTTTTTCTTTGCGGATCCCTCCTTAAAGGAAGTCGGAGAACCTCAGCAGGTATTCTTGTGTCTTTCACAACCACTAGGTTAACACTGCCAGTTTTTCACAAGATTGATTGTGTTTTCTTGCCAGGTTTTGTTCACATTTTTGTGTATTTTGATAACTTTGTTTTCATTTTGCACAAGTTTTACATCTATAAACTGAAGGTTCAGAAATTTACATGGCAAGTTTCACGAAATGCCTAGAGTTCATTAGCTCTACATGTTTTTGGAAGTTGTATTTCTCATATGTTTTTGGAAAGGATGAATGTTCATCAGTTGGAAAATGCATGAGCTGATTTGCAACACTTGTTTTAATTGAATTCTACAAAAATATGCTCGTTATATTTTACTGTTTTGGCCATCTTTGCTGTGATATCTTATTTTGATATCTCAAAGACAGTTTTTTAAAACTGCCGCCATTGTTACATGAAAAAGAAACTTTTTCTTCAGCACTTTAACTGTCTAATTTCAAAACTTTCCAAAGTTCTTCATGAAGCTCTTGTAGTTTCTCTGTTTTGAGGTCTTCGTTATCTTTGCATGAATTTCACACCACTGTTTGATGCCCTGCTGTGATACAGGTTTTTTTTCAGGGTAATAAAAGGTGAAAAATTCATCAGAATATTCAAATATGCTGATGTAGTTTAACCCCACTTCTTACCTAATTGACCCTTCACCCCCAGTGAGTGACCTTTGTTTGAGTGTTCACTGTATGCCACCCTTTTTTGCACACGTAGTGGAATAATGGTTTTCTTAAGGTGTCCCTTTTCCTTGTAGAAGTCCAAACATAGTTAAATCTGACTACAAGAGACCCAGAAAGGCTTCAGCAAATTTTGATAACAAACAGAATACAGGAGGCAATTGAATCGTTCTCACTGTTATCAAGTATGCGTCATTTGTTACATGCTCTGGACCAGTGAAAGCTGACTAAATCGTGATGTTCTGCTAAATGTGGATAAGCCAGAAATTCTTTCCATAAAGGAGATGTGGGTTAGGATTTTCGTTCTTCTTGTGCATTTTAGCACATCATTTCAGAGTCAACATTTAATTGGATATTTGTTGTGAGTTGTGTTTTCTCCAGGTTCCTATGCAAAGTTCCTTAGAATTAGAAATATTGCACATTGTTTCAAATCCCAACAAATACAACATCAAACGTAGCTTAAATAATAGTACGCTGTATTTTCCCAACCAGGTGCACAATACCTTCTTCAGTTTACAACTTGATAGGTTCAAATACCCAATCAGGTAGAGCAAGTCCCCTCTATGTAACATTTGGTAGACGCTCTAGCTTGCATGAGCACCGTAGAAAACTGTTTTTAATGCCTTTCCTGTACATGTTCTTAAACCTGCAAAGAGTTTTAGTAAAAGGTACATTTATGTAATGCCAGAAGGGTAAAGACCACC